GGGCTGGCCCAGGATCAGCGAGAGCCACACGGCCGCGTTGCCGTAGTGCCCCCGCAGGAACCGCGCCACCAGCCAGGCCAGCGGGATCTGGGGACGGGACACGTGTGTCACACGCGTGTCAGTGTGTGTCACACGCGTGTCAGTGTGTGTCACACGTCTGTCACCTGTGCCACCCCTGTCACTCTGTGTCACCTCCCTGCCCCGTGCCACCAGCCAGGCCAGCGGGATCTGGGGACGGGGACACGTGTGTCACACGCGTGTCAGTGTGTGTCACACGCGTGTCAGTGTGTGTCACACGCGTGTCACACGTCTGTCACCTGTGCCACCCCTGTCACTCTGTGTCACCTCCCTGCCCCGCGCCACCAGCCAGGCCAGCGGGATCTGGGGACGGGGGCACGTGTGTCACACGCGTGTCAGTGTGTGTCACACGTGTGTCATTGTGTGTCACACGTGTGTCATTGTGTGTCACATGTGTGTCACCTGTGCCACCCCTGTCACTCTGTGTCACCTCCCTGTCCCGTGCCACCAGCCAGGCCAGCAGGATCTGGGGACGGGGACACGTGTGTCACACGCGTGTCAGTGTGTGTCACACGTGTGTCATCTGTGTTATTGTGTGTCACCTGTGCCACCCCTGTCACTCTGTGTCACCTCCCTGCCCCGCGCCACCAGCCAGGCCAGCGGGATCTGGGGACGGGGACACGTGTGTCACACGCGTGTCAGTGTGTGTCACACGTGTGTCACCTGTGTCACCTGTGCCACCCCTGTCACCTCCCTGCCCCGCGCCACCAGCCAGGCCAGCGGGATCTGGGGACAAAGGGACAGGGACAGTGACACCTGTGCCACCCCCTGTGTCACACGTGTGTCACACCTGTGTCACCTGTGCCACCCCCTATGCCACCCGTCACCCCGTGTCACCCCCCTGTGCCACCCCTGTCACCCCCTGTGTCATGTGTGCCACCCCCGGATTTTGGGGTTCTCAGGATTTTGGGGTGCCCCGGATTTTGGGGTGCTGGGTTTTGGGCTTCCCAGGAATTTGGGGTTCCCGTTTTTGGGGTTCCCAGGATTTTGGGGTTCCCGTTTTCGGGGTGCCCCAGATTTTGGGGGTCCCCATTTTTGAGGTCCCCGTTTTTGGGGTGCCCCAGGGATTTTGGGGTCCCCATTTTTGGGGTGCCGGGTTTTGGGGTTCCCGTTTTTGGGGTTCCCTTTTTGGGGTTACCATTTTTGGGGTCCCAAGGATTTTGGGGTGCCCCAGATTTTGGGGTGCCCCCGTTTTTGGGGTCCCCATTTTTGGGGTGCCCCGGATTTGGGGGTGCTCAGGATTTTGGGGTTCCCATTTCTGGGGTTCCCGGGGATTTTGGGTTCCCCGTTTTTGGGGCTCCCGTTTTTGGGGATCCCGTTTTTGGGGTGCCCCAGGGATTTTGGGTTCCCCGTTTTTGGGGTTCCCATTTTTGGGGTTCCCGTTTTTGGGGTTCCCGTTTTTGGGGTTCCCATTTTTGGGGTCCCCGTTTTTGGGGTTCCCGTTTTTGGGGTTCCCGTTTTTGGGGTGCCCACTTTTGGAGTTCCCATTTTTGGGGTTCCCGTTTTTGGGGTCCCCGGGGGTTTTGGGGTCCCCGGGGGTTTTGGGGTTCCCGGGGGTTTTGGGGTGCCCACTTTTGGAGTTCCCAATTTTGGGGTTCCCATTTTTGGGGTTCCCCGGGGTTTTGGAGTTCCCATTTTTGGGGTTCCCATTTTTGGGGTTCCCGGGGGTTTTGGGGTGCTCACCTGCGCCGCCATGCCCATGAAGGCCCAGAGCCGGAACATGCGCAGGGGGACGCTCACCAGGTACTGCGGGACAGCGCCGGGATTGGGGACCCCGAGATTTGGGGGACCCCGGGATTGGGGGGGGACCCGGGATTGGGGACCCGGATTGGGGGGACCCCGGGAATTGGGGGGACCCGGGATTGGGGGGGACCCCGGGATTGGGGGGGGACCCGGGATTGGGGGGGGACCCGGGATTGGGGACCCCCCGGGATTGGGGACCCCGATTGGGGGGACCCCGGGATTGGGGGG